GTCATACTGTTGGAAAGTGCCTTGGTAGCAGTGGAGACGTGCTGTATGAAGGGATATAAAGGGTTGATCCGTATGCCAACGACCTTCTTACCGTCGAAGCAGATTTTTCCTGGGATCGCCAAGATGTCTCGCCTCAACCGTTTCAGTCCTCGGCTTTGAAGCATCTCCGTTGCCTTTCGGTGTGCGTTTTTCGGTTGGCTCCGAGGCCCCTTCAGGTATCTTAACCGCCTCTATGAACCACGCTTTCACTCCAAATCATCAGGTTTATGGGCGAGTTTCTGCGAGTAAAAAGCAAAACTTGCTGTGCGATAAATCCTGTCTTTCTGTATTTTCGCAAAGAGAGGGCTTGATAATCTTGGGCGAAAGAGTTCTCCGGGGCCCCACTGCGTTTGTCATATTCAAGCAGCAGTTCTTCAAGCGTTGCGGTCGTGTCGGTTGAAACCAACACGGCATAACTCCAAGTGCCATCTTTTTTCGGTGTTCTCACAGCGACTTGAACCGTCCGTCTCGCATACCGATGCGGTTGTTGAACCCACCCTGCTTCTCTACCCTTGACGCCTTTCGACGTTGGCACAGACACACCCACTCCTCCATGGGGGCCGCTAACTTTTGGATCCGGCGGGAGTTATACATCTTCCCGATGAGGCGATACCCCCGCCCATAAGGCATAATTGATATTGGCATCCGTGCCAAATCCGGCATCAAAGCGAAGCCGAACTCGGCTCCGTTTCTCAACGCTATCAAGCGTCAAAACAGTCTCAAGTTTGCCGAGCATCGGCTTGAAAACAGCATCGCTGTTGGTTTTAACCGGGGTATAACGCCTGCGTAAATATCTCTTGGGTGTCTCCGCAGACACACCGTGCCAACTGACGCGTATAAGTATTCGGCTTTTTCGCGACATATCCTTTCTCTGAACCCTCGGCATGCTTGCCAATCGGCAAGGAAGAGAGGTCTATATCCACACCTATCTCATCTTCAGCCCCCAAAGACACCTGACGCCCCTGACCTTGTTTGAGACGCACCTCCGCTAAAGCAGATTCAAGTGAAGCAACAGTCGCCTCCGTTGAGGCATCTAACGTCTGCTGGATCACCGACGCATCCGCACATCTTTGGTAGCCAAAGCCACCTAACAAGCCACGATCCGAGCGAACTTTGGTTTGGATTTCAGACACCGTCTCCGCACCCGATAGCATCCCTAACACCACAAAAACTAACTTGTCTGTCGGACGATACACAACTGTTTTCTGCCCGATATTCACCGTGTCATGGAGGGGCTGAAATACCTCACGAACCCGCAACACTTCACCCAGAGCACACAACGGCGCCTGAGGCGTTACCACCCATTTTTTACCATTGTGCTTTTTCCGTTTTTTTGCTATACTTCTTTTTGCCATTGAAGACCTCCAAAAAGGTTTAGGTTCTAACACTTATATCATAACCTTTTTAGAACTTCAATGGCACGTTATTTCTACTTTCACACACCCTAAAGCAAGTAATCAAATCATGCTTTCATTGGACAAAAACAAGGAAACTACTGCAAAAGTCAAACTACTGCATCGGTGAAAACGGGGCAGGGAGCAGGAGTTTGCTCTCCTGTGTGATGGGTCTGACGGAGCCTTTGGGGGGCCAGACACCTTTCTCTCGTGTCTCTGCTCGGACGCGTTGGCGTTCTTCAAAACTCTTATACGCCCAGAGATGGATGAAATTGTTGACACCCCCGTATTCTGAGTACCAGCAGCCTGCCAGTGGTGAGAGTTTCACGCGCTCGGGGATAGCCGCACCCCACGCTTCTAAGACTTGTGGCATACCTTCCGCAGGATAGGTGTACAGACGCATTTCATACAGTGGTCCGATGTCCTTTTCGCCTAAGGGTTCCATAAAAGGAGCCGGTAGATAAATCTCGGATACCATTGATACGATGATATCACTTGTATCGGGGGGCCATACCGAATTTGGTTCGGCTTCTGCAGCGCGTCGAATTTCTGCCCGCTGTTCAAGGCTTTCGTAGGGCCAAATGGCGACCATCTGATTCAACGGTCCCACTTCGGTGTACCAGTGTCCTCCGAGTTGCGAGAGTTCCTGGCGACCGGGTAGTTTTTCGCTGAAGCGTTTCCAGTACTCTTGGAGTTGCCCAAGTTTCAAGTTGTAAGTTCTTATCTCGTAGATCACGCTATCCCTCCTATGTTTTGAGGAGCTGCTAACTTAGAATCAAACGGATATCATCTTCACAATGAAATCAATTGTGACACCATTTTGACGGAGTGCGTCGCGGTAGTTCCACCATTCACTATCTACCGCTTGCAGAATTGGCGGTTTTTCGGAGTGTGCGAGTGCGACAGCGATGAATTTGCGATCCGCTGGATCGAAACCCGTTAGTGCGGGATCCGTTGGAAACTCGCGGAAGTCATTTTCTGAACCATCAATTGGTGTAATAGGAACGAAGTCACATTGCCTGTCCTTGTTCGCCAAGAGCCATCCGAGAAACCTATCACCGATATCTGCACCGTTGGATCGGAGATTTCGCATGTACTCGTTAAGGATTCTCCAATCGTCATCAAGAACTAATTTCACTTCGCCAGTCATAATCTGTTGGAGTTTCTCGGTACAAGTGAAGACACAACCAGCGGAGGCTTGTTGTGATTTACCGTTGGCAACTACAGCGACATTTGTATCTACTACAACGGTCACAGACCTTGCTCCTTCTTGCGTTTCATTTCGGCTTTGGTTTTCTCGACCAGATCACCTGTTGCGTCACCAAAGAAGTTTTGTGGCCAATTTGTGATGTTTCCGTAATCATCTACGTTGAGCCGCTCAATTTCGGATGTTCCTTCGTTCATTTCGCAAAAGTAGAAGGCGGTGTCGTCTGCCGAAATCTGTTCCTCAGCGATCCGCCGCATTAACCGTATAAGTAGATGCTCACTGTGACTCTCAAGGATAATCTGTAGTTTACGATTTTTTACGACCTCAATGAGAAGATCTGCCAAATCCTGATTGGACTTTGGGGTGGAGGTGCGCTTCAGGCTGTTCAAGGATGAGGATACTTCCTTCAGGTACGTAATAACAGAGTACCAGCACGGGCAGGACCTGTGAAACACCGAAACCTACATCGGTGAGTCTGACTTCGGGTCCCCCCTTGTACTTTCGGACGAGGAATTCGTAATCTCTTTCTGTATTGGAGATAGGATTGAGGCGATAAGAGTCAATTAAATCCAACCGCTGTAGCCATTTGGGGATCTGCTCGTCAAGAGAACGGAGTTGAATTCGTCAGAAAAGAGTGCGGTGACGGTATCTTCTCCGTGCTGACCTACACCCGGTGAATGCTTACCCTGCCATGCGTAATGCCGACGGGGATATTCACGGAGGGGACCGAGATATTCAATACTACGGAATAGATTTGAAAAACGCGTCTGGAGTGGGGAAAAAAGTTGCTGCGTCTTAGAATATGCCCCCTGAATTCCATAGCATCGAAACAGTGCAGTATCAATCCAAGAACCACCAGGAGTGGAAATCGAACAGTCTTCCTGACCGTGCCAATCTACTCCAAAGCGTTGCTCATTTATCCTATAATTGAAACTTGCATCAGAAACTGAATTCTCCACATTATTGATAGTGAATTCAAAAGAAAGCGTATCCACTTCGTCTACATCCGGTAGGCTTAATTTTTCGGAAAATTTCCATGCTAGAGAGAATCCAAGTGGTAAATCACGTCTGTGTTTGTGGATTAGGTCGTCAAAACTCCCCAAGTTAACGAGGGAACTGTCATCACCGAAATCAATCACCTATTCCAATCTGATGGACGTTCCACAGTCTGCTTTAGCATAAGCAGCGTTTGCAGAATGCTGGTTTTGCCGGAACTATTTGCGCCAAAGAACCCAGTTAACGGAGCAAGATGCAACTTACCTGTATCTTTCCACGACTTGAAATTTTGCACGCTGAGTTCGGTAATCATGATGTATACCTCGCTCTGTGGCACAAAAAGAAATATTTCTGTGCTTAGAAATATACAGATGCCGCCCTTACAAGGCTAAAGAGATGGCAGGGACGCGTTTCTATAAACATACTGAAAATACCCAAGCAAATAAACCCTACGGGACTAAAGAGGGAGAAATGAAATGTACCTGACAACTTAAGCGAGTGATTAGGCAGGTCCGGTGCGGTTACATGAAGTTTAAGTATTTAATTTGGTAATTTCCTAACGATGCCGGTGCGGTTAGGAAACCGCACCTACCGGGCCTGGGGAGAACATAGAATTACCGAAATATTTTCTTAATCTTCATCAAACCGTACCTACCGCTCGCCTTGCTGGCGAATTATGACCAACTCTTCCAGAATACGCCTGTGAAGACGATGTAATTCAAGACCTATTCCGATGCCGATGGCAGTCAACACACCCGCTCCCAGAATAATTTTTGTTTTTAAGGACATGCGATGCTCCTCTGTTATGTGTGGTGAGGATGCTTCGTTAGAAGTTTTCGATAATCGCTGCGCCGAATTCGGAGGTACGGACCTTTGTCGCGCCTTCCATGAGACGCTCCAGATCGTAGGTGACCCGCTTTTGGAGGATGGTTTTCTCAAGTCCAGTGATAATCAGGTCAGCGGCTTCCTGCCAGTCGATATGCTCCAGCATCATTACTGCTGAGAATAAGCGAGCCCGGGTTGACGACATCTTGGTCGGTGTACTTGGGTGCCGTGCCGTGCGTTGCTTCAAACAATGCGACTTCGTCGACTGAGGTTGCCACCGGGAGCCATGCCGATACCGCCGACCTGTGCCGCCGCGGCATCAGAGAGATAGTCGCCGTTCAGGTTCGGCGTGACAATCACATCGTATTCATCCGTCCGTGTGAGAATCTGCTGTAACATGCTGTCGGCGATTCGGTCATTGACGATAATTTTGCCTTCAGGACACTTACCGTCATAGTCGCTGTAGAGTTCGTCTTCCGTGATGGTTTGCTCAGCGAATCCTCTTTGGCGAGTTCATATCCCCAAGCGCAGAACGCGCCTTCGGTAAACTTCATGATGTTGCCTTTGTGGACAAAGGTAACACTACGTCTGCCGTGGTCAATCGCGTATTGGATCGCCATGCGTGTCAAGCGTTTTGTGGCGAAAATGCTGATGGGTTTTATGCCGATACCGGAATCTTCCCGGACCTCTACACCCATTTCGGTGCGGAGCAGTTCAATAAACTTTTTAACTTCCGGTGTGCCTTGTTCCCACTCAATACCGGCGTAGACATCCTCGGTGTTTTCACGGAAGATAACGACATCCATCTTTTCAGGATGCGTGACAGGTGCGGGGACACCTTGGAAGTAACGGACAGGACGGATACATGCATAGAGTTCAAGCACTTGACGCAAGGTCACGTTTAAACTCCGAAAACCACCGCCGACAGGTGTCGTCAGTGGTCCCTTTAAGGAAACGCGGAAGTATTCGATAGCGTCAAAGGTATCCTGTGGCAGCCATTCGTTGTATTTTGCCATGGCGTTTTCGCCAGCATAGACATCGAACCAGACGATCCGTTTTTCGCCGTTGTATGCCGTCTGGGCAGCTGCATCAACAACGCGGCGTGTCACCTTCATGATGTCTCGTCCGATGCCATCGCCTTCAATAACGGGGATAATAGGTTCATTCGGTACGACGAGCTGCCCATTGACATACCCTATTCTTTCACCCTCTGTTGGCACTGTTAATTGCGATAATTCAATCACTGATTATTCCTCTCTAAATAGTTATCAGTTTTCAGTACTCAGTTGTCAGTCAAAAGAGCCCTTGGCTTAACAAATTCTCTTTTTAACTGAAAACCGATAACTAATAACTGACAACTTCTAAAAGGTGTTCGTGCTTGCCATGCGGTTGTGTAATGCTACGACTTCGTTGGCAATTGTCATATCGTCGGTTGGTGTCGGAATGACATCTGGATGTGGTGGGATAACGGGTCGGATAATCTTCATTTCGAGTTGCTCACGTGCGTCCATCATCCAACCGAAGCCGCGGAAGATGTATGTCAATAGCGTTCTGTCGCTTTCGTAGATATCCAATCCTTCTTGGACTGCCCACCCCCCAAAGTCGGTGTTGGGAGTCAGACGGAGTGGCGGTTCGTCTTCACGTCCCGGGCGGACCATGCCTTCAATGAAAGCGAGTTGATAAATGCGTTGTACAATAGCCAACCGCTTTTTCTGCCTGTCGCTGAGTTGAATGTTGCCGTTATCAACTGCCTCAAGGAACGGATTGAAATAGATAGCGGGTCTGGGATCTTGTTGGATTTCATCGGTGCGTCCGGCGGCGGCGATTTCTGGGTGTCCAAAGGTCGGCAGTGCGGATTGCATCCGTTCATGGATAGCCTCTTCGCGAGCAGTGGCATCAAGGGGTTCGATTTGATTGATAAACGCTGTCATATCGTGAATCGCCCCGAAATGTCGATCGCCATCCAAAGCCATCTGCGCAGCAACAAAAAAGTCAGACACAGCACCAGTGTGCAAAGTGGCCAGATAGCGAGCGACGACGTTGGAACCTGCGGAACCGTGATGTGTCTGTATAATACCCATCCGTTCTAAAATATCCGCTTCGACAGTGCTTGCTTCTCGCCCCAAGAGGAGACTATAACAGGTTTGGAAGGCTGTTTTTTCACTCTTTTCGTGTGCGTTGATGAGATCGGTCGCGCGCATTGCCAGAACTTGCGGGTGTAGTGCTGGGTTCTCACGGAGTTGATGTCGCATATACACAGAAACTGCCCCAACAGCGACATTCTCCATGTGTGTTTCAATCAATTCAAGCAGGAGTGAATCGGCTTCTCGTGTGCTGTTAATCCCTTTCTGATCCGGAATACTCAGTTTACGGAGTGTTGAGAAGTGTTGAATGGCAGTCTCGGGGCCGGCTTCAGGGAAGGCTTTAACAAATTCTGCGACCTGATTGACGAGGCGTTGTTCAGCGGTTAGGCTCTCTCTGCGAGTCGTAGAGAAACTATAGAATTTCTTATCTATTAAGTCGGATAGCGTCGCTTTTCATCAAGCCCGCTCGTATCAGTTTCAGGTTTTCTGCCGAAAAGTCCAGTGAAGATAACAGCTGCGGGACTGAGTTTGTCTGCGACAATTTCACTTTCGGACACAATACCGCGAATCGCAAAGCTGCGGATGTTCAAGGTTATCTGTGTACCGCCACAATCAACAGCGACTTTGTGCAGTACCGGATTCGCGAAAACGGTTGTAGATTGGGGCATCGAACTGAAACTTTTGAGTACCGCTGCAATCTCATCCTCTCCCAACTCAACCGCTCTATTTAAGGAATCCGTTACGGGTGTGTACGCTGAGGCTTCTGGCACATCTGACAGGATTTTTCGGAGCGCGGCTTCCTGCTTCGCCTCCAAATTCTTGTTCAAAATGAATTCTCCTTCGTTGACTATTTAATAATAAGTTCTGTCTTGCAAACTTCGCCGAAATAATTTTATAGTAAAGCCCACAATTAAGTTTACACTGTCTGATGTGGCGAGGTTAGGAAACCTCGCCAGCAATGCGGTGAACGGGATGGATTGCCTGTGGAAGTGTCAAAGTATTTTTAGATTTTACTATAACTCGTCCTGATCCGCACAACTACCTTTCAAGCAATAGGACAGTAAGGTGCTGTCGCTTTAGTTTAAAAAGTTTCTGATTGACCTATATTATAACTTAACGTGAGTTCGACATAAGCGTATAGTTAGAAACCCGACACATTCTCACACGGGCGGCGTTGGATTGTTGGGTTTCGCTATGTCTATTTCTATGAATGTGTCCTTGAAAAGTAGGTTTTCTTGGTAGACTGAAGGTTTCTTGGTCATTCACGGCTTTACCCAACCTACGGGCCCCTTCAATTTTTATTATCGAACTCACGTAACTTACAATATTTTATCAGATTTCCGATTAAAAGTCAAGATAAAATTGGAAAACGGTTATTAGTTTTCAGGCATCGGTTGTCAGTAGTCAATCAAAGAGATGGATAACTCCGTGATCGGTGAGGGATCTGTAGATTGTGCTGTCTATAGATGTATCCTTTTAAGGTCAATCTCGCAAAAATTGATGACTGAACACTAAAATTTGACTTGCAGAAATACGGATTTTGTAGTATCATTATTAACGAGCGTATTTGATTAAGGTACCTACGCGCGTACCTACACCACAGCAGAATTACAAACACACATCGGCGGTACGCTGCAGGGTGCCTTGCATTCTATTTTTTTACAGATAAGGAGTCTAACTACATGCGCAATGAAGCATTAGGAATGGTTGAAACACGCGGACTTATCGGCGCGGTTGAAGCTGCCGATACTATGGTGAAAGCCGCAAACGTCAAATTAGTTGGAAAAGAGCAAGTTGGTGGCGGTTTTGTCACTGTTATGGTTCGTGGAGATGTTGGTGCGGTGCAAGCCGCGACGGATGCTGGGGCAGAAGCCGCGAAAGCGGTTGGTGAATTGGTATCGGTACACGTCATCCCTCGCCCACATTCAGATGTGGAGACTATTCTCGGCGGTGGCTCGGAAGAAGCGAAGAGTCCCAGCAAATAAATCAGGTTGTAGGGCGGGGGATGACTTTCTCGCCTTTGCCCTACTCCGCTTTACCAGAGAACATGTTAGCATTACCACGGGTCCTGTCCAGTGGTTTTAGACGTGCTCCTTATGCGCGTTCTGCGCGATGAGGTACTGGAGGGCTTAATGGCACAAATTGACGAAAAACAGATTGAAGAGATTGTCTCCCAAGTTTTGAGAACGCTGCAACAAGACGCGCCTGGGACGGTGCAGCCTACGGCATCCGTCGGTGTGAGCTCTTCCCAGTCAGGGGTCTTCTCAACAGCATCAGAGGCTATCGCAGCCGCGAAAACCGCACAAGCAGCATTGGTCAAACTTGGGTTTGCCAAAAGACGAGAAATCATAGAAGCGATCAAAGAGGTCTCGCTTGCGAATGCGAAACGTCTTGCTGATTTGGCAGTACAAGACACCAACATGGGCAATGCGGCACACAAAATGATGAAGAACGAGGGTGCCGTAACACTTTCACCCGGTGTGGATGATCTTATATCAGAAGCGATATCGGGTGATTTGGGTACACTTCTTATTGAGTACGTCCCGTTCGGAGTTATCAATTCGATCACACCTACCACAAATCCGACATCAACGGTAATCAACCACGCGATTGTGATGCTATCGGCAGGGAACGCTGTTGTTTTCAGTCCGCATCCAAATGCGCGTGACTGCACCGAAGAGACAATGCACGTCATCAACGAGGCAATCGTTAAGGCAGGTGCTCCGCCTAATCTGCTCACCTCCGTTGCAAATGCGAGTCTACGGACAGCCAAGGAGATCATGGAGCATCCTGACATTGCTATGCTTGTCGCTACTGGTGGTGCATCCGTTGTGAAGGCAGCGTTATCGAGCGGCAAAAAGACAATCGCCGCCGGTCCCGGCAACCCACCCGCGATTATTGATGAAACCGCCGACGTTCAGGAAGCGGCAAAGCACGTCATCGCAGGCACCAGTTTCGACAACAACCTACTCTGTATCGGTGAGAAGGCACTCTTTGTCATCGAATCGGTTGCAAACGATACGGTCCAAGAACTCACACAGAACGGTGGTCATTTGTTGAATGCGAGCCAGCGTGAGGCGTTAGAGGCGGTCGTCACCGAAAAAGGTGAATCGAACAAGGAATACATCGGCAAAGACGCGACGACTATTTTAAACGCCGCTGGCATTACAGCCCCTGCACAGACAGTCGCGATCGTCGTAGAAGTTCCGGCGGATCACAACTTTGTTATCAATGAATACTTGATGCCGATTCTACCAGTCGTTCGGTGTCGAGATTTCGATGAGGCGTTGGCAGGCGCAGTCAGAGCAGAAGGTGGACGCGGGCACACTGCGGTGCTCCATACGAACAATACGAAACGGATCACGCAGTTCACGAAAGCAATGGACTGTAGCGTTGTGGTTATCAATGCCCCGTCTTATGCGTCCTGCGGACTGGAAGGCGAAGGATTCTTGGCGATGACCATCGCTGGACCGACAGGCGAAGGGTTCACACGTCCACGCACCTTTACACGTCAGAGACGATTAACGATCGCAAACAATTTGTCAGTACATACACAGTGACGTAAATAGGTTATTTGCGGCCGGTCCAGGTCGTTTAAAATTTCCCTAAACCGGGCAAAGGTGTTATGCGAACAAAGATTGACGATCTGAGGGCGTTGATACGCCATCATGAGCGTAAATATTACATCGAAAACCAGCCAGAAATATCTGATGCCGAATTCGATGTGCTCATGAAGGAGCTTGAGGCACTCGAAGCAACGTCTGATGCGCCTATCCCGACCAGATTCTCCGACGCAGCGGGTCGGTGGCGGTGCTGTATTAGGCACCCGCATATCGCATCGCAATCCGATGCTGAGTCTGAACAACAGTTACGACGAACAGGAGCTGCGCGAATTCGATGAACGCGTCCGGCGATTGTTAGAAGATGTACCTGTCGAATACGTTACGGAGTTAAAGATAGACGGTTTAGGCGTTTCGTTAATCTATGAGAACGGAGTATTTACGCGCGGTCTCACACGTGGTGATGGTGAGTATGGCGAGGATATAACAGACAATTTGCGAACGATCCGTTCTGTGCCGTTGCGGCTTGCAGAAACAGAAATAGCAGTTCCTCTGGTATTAGAAGCACGCGGTGAAGTCTTCATCCCGAAGCATCGGCTCAATGACATTAACGTGCAGCGCGAGGCAGAAGGGGAACCGCCTTTCGCGAACCCTCGGAATGCTGCGGCTGGTTCGCTTCGTTTGCAAAATGCTTCTATCACCGCTTCACGTCCGTTAGATATTTTTGTATACACCCTGAATTATGCGGAAGGGACGGAATTCGCGACGCATACGGAATCAATCGAAAAGATGAAGCGTTGGGGGTTGAAGTGTAATCCACATACCACCTGCCATAAATCAATAGAAGACGTTCAAAACTACTACGAACACTGGGTAAAAGAACGTGATGAACTCTGCTATGAGACCGACGGTGTCGTTGTAAAAGTCAATCAACTCTCCCACCAGAATGAACTTGGTACCACCTCCAAATACCCGCGCTGGGCAATTGCATACAAGTTCAATGCACAGCAAGCCATCACAACCGTAAAAGAAATTGAAGTACAGGTAGGTCGTACAGGTGCGCTGACACCGGTTGCGATTTTGGAGCCAGTAACGCTTGCAGGCGCGACAATCACGAACGCGACCCTACACAACGAGCAAGAGATTCGCTCGAAAGACATCCGCATCGGCGATCGGATTGTGCTCGAACGCGCTGGGGATGTTATCCCTAAAATTGTTGAGGTGCTAACAGCAGACCGGACTGGTAATGAAGTTGCTTTTGTATTCCGAGATCGGTGCCCGGTGTGTGATACCCCCCTGTCCAACGCTCAGAGGAAGAGGTTGCTGTTCGGTGCATGAATGTGGCGTGTGTTGCACAATTGAAACGTCGCATTGGGCATTATGCTTCGCGCAATGCCCTTCAAATGAAGGTCTCGGTCCTGCTACAATTGACCAATTGGTGGATAAAGAATTGGTTAGCGATGTTGCTGATCTCTACGCGCTGGAGGTGGAGGCGTTGAGCAAACTGGATCGGATGGGTGTCCCGTCTGCAAGTAACCTTGTCCACCAAATCGAACAGAGTAAGACGGCACCCGTAGAAAAGGTGCTTTTCGGACTCGGCATCTTTCATGTTGGCGAGACTGTCGCGGCACTGCTCATTGAACACTTTTTATCCTTAGATGCGCTCAGCACAG